AGCGTTCTTCTTCTTCTTTTTTATTTTTAATTTTGCTTTTGTATGACGTAGTTTCGAACCGCAGAATTCACCATGTCAATCTCCCTTTTCGTTTTACTCTCATGCTGGCTCAGTTGCATGTTACAGCTGCTTGGACGGAGGCATGCCAGTTTGTCACAGGCTCACCCCGCCTCGACTGCACTGCCCTGCATGATGGAAGTTACCACTGACGCTCTCAAAAAGAGTAAATGAATGATTGATTGATTGTATGAATTGAATTTTATTTTTCAATTGTTTTTAACGAAAGAACATTCATTGTTGAGTAATTTGCTTTGATTTGCATTCAAAAAGGAAAAAAAAATTGAACAACACAAGCTGAATTGACATTTTAGCGAGGGACTATCTCTACACCACCAATTTGAAGGTGGGAGAAAAAAACAACTTTAGTTACAGCTAGAGCGTTAAAGTACTGTAATTATGACAAACTGGGCCTGTGACAAACTGGGCAGCCCCCTCCCCCCTTACACTATTGCTGTTTCGCCTTTAGTATCACCATGTAAAAAGCAAGTTAACTGTTATTATATTACCTATAACGCGACCTCGGAATCATAAATACAATTCTTGAGGTTTCAAATACAGCACTGATACTCATACTAGATATATTCTTTCCCCGCCTTTAACGAGGCAGACGCCTCACTGCAAGTTCTTAAATTAGTATACATTATTAACAACACGCGTTGCCACAGGCCTGAATTACTCCCGACACCGTAGGCCTATTGAATACTCATACTGTATTATGGACTAGTGTGTTGCGTCTGGCCTGTGCGCTGTGTAGATTGACGGAATGTCTGCGCAGGCGCACCCGCGTTCGAGTGCGCGAATCAGGCCATATTTCTCGAATAACACACCGAACATTTGTGTCTTATTCCTTCACATGACTTCCTCTGTAGTCTTACGAAATGAAATGCATTGTTAAGTACAACAAAATCTCCAAAAATGAACAAAGAGTTGATAAAACAATCCCATTTTATACTGCAGAGAACGGGAAAGCAGAAAGTGAAACGATACTTAACATTCAATACTGCGCAAGTGTTATAGGAAAAAGAAAGTCCAGGACAAGGGAACAAAACACGCTCGGCGGACCTCGCCACCTTTCACAAGCGCGCTGTGCGAAGAGTCGGGCCCATAATGCATCATTGAGCGCAGGAGCGCATGCGCAGTGGCGTATTGTGGTGTCCAGAGCCACGGCTGCCGCAAAGTTGCGCGACAAAAATACCGAGCGTGCTGAGTGGCGAGTGCTGCCGAGAAGTAAGTTTGTGCCGTGTTCGAGGAAGGGAAAAGGCCAGGCGAGCCAACCCCACTAGTTTTATCAGAGCTGTGGTGCGTGCGTGCGTGCGGGCCAACTCGACACATTTATTTCTCCAACTAAACGCGTCTCTTCTTATCGACTGCGAAAACAGACCGGTCTTCTACAACAGTGTTGTTGTTGTTATTGTTGCTGCAATGTTGTGTTGTTTGTAGGAAATAATTTATCGGAGGAGGATTATAAGGCGTTTTCGTGGACACGATGGCGACGAACTGTAAACACACAGAGTGGATCTTGGAGACTATCGACCACCTGAGGAGGCGAAAAGCCCGTCCGGACTTGGACCGAATCTGCCATGTGGTGAGACGTCGTCACGGGCTGAGCGCTGCCGAGACAGAAGCGAAAATCGAAAAACTTGTCGACGCAGAAATTGTTATAAAAGTCGACTACAAAGGAAGCACGAGCTACAGAAACGCAGCAAAGTGGAGGAAAAGCATGCTCGGTTGTGCTGTAATGAATTCTACCTCGATCTCCACAAAAATATTGCGCTCAATCATTGCGTTAGCGAAAACTGCGACTGCGAGCGAAAAGAAGACATCCGATCCGGAAGGTTTGCAAAGTGCAGTGACATCAGCAGCTTTGGTGACCGTGGAGAGCAAAGAAGCAGCCGTCAGAATAGGGGCCTCGCTCAGTAGTATCAACTTGTGGCTGCAGAAGAACTGCGAGGGTTTCGACAATTTAAAAAGCCCGATGACCGTGGTTCTCAAAAGAGAGGTGGACGCAGGTCGCATTCGGAAACTGGACAACGGAAATTACGTCATCACCCCCGAGCAAATCAAAGCCGTTCACGAGGATGCGATCAAACCGCTCAAGGTGATCAAGAAGGTGGAGACAAAGATCTCGTGCGAGCTCCTCCCACCGTCCCAGACCACGCCCCCTGGCTTTGTCAAACCGGCGAGTTACCATAACAACGCCCCAGCATCGTCTGTTGTACAGTCGACCAGTGGCGGGAAAGGGACGAGTGGTCAGCAACACCACAGTGCTGACCCCGGCCCAGCGGGTCCAGTGGTGCCCCAACCTGCCAGACGTGGACGGCCTCCCAAGAACAGGACTGGATTAGCTCCGCCCCCTCGGATAGTGACCCCAACGACGGCGCCACCCCCTACAGCGGCTGCAGTTCCTCAGGCCAACAGTGCTGGAGCTTCGAAGGTTAGTTTTGTCTTGTCTTTCTGACTTACGTTACATAAGAAAAAGAAGAAAGAAGCAAACCAGAAGGCATTCGATCTAGAAACAAAATAACAACAAAAAACAAAAACAAACAAAAAAAAAAATCAAAAGAAAAAAAATCTCAAAATATATTGATGATAATGTTGAATTAAGTTTCATCCAAATTATAAGTAAGTAAATCCATTTCTCATCTCGTTTCATACGTTTGAGAATTGGTAAAAACGAAGATTTAAAGAAAAAAAAACCCAGAAAAAAACCCCGGACAGGACATTATTATATTTTTATGCCCATCTTTAAAAACTGAATGTTTCACTGGTCTGTGATATTTGCCCGTGTCGATATCGTAGGGCTGTGTGCTTTGCTGGGATCGAGGTTCACTTAACGTATAGATGACCCCCCCCAAAAAAAAAAATTAAAAAAAAAAAAAAATTGCTCGAGACAGTTCTAAAGTGGAAAAGCTTTCCGATGCACCTGTCATATAAATGTTCATAATATTGTTGCTGGATTTTGTCTCTGTCTGCCTTGTGTTTTGTAGTGTTTTTGGGGGGTATGTTTGCATTGAGCAAAAAAGCAGCTTATTGCATTCTTTAATCATTTCTTTGGCTTTTGGGCTTTCTCTCTCTCTCTCTCTCTCTCTCTCTCT